CAAAAGAATTAAAGTGCTCAAATAGATACATGGATGGGTTGTAAAGTTAGCCTCGACAGTAATTTTAAGATAAGCTTCAGCTTCATCTTGACGTTTTAGATTTGGGTCTTTTTTAGACAAATCCTTAATCTTACTTTCTGAAAATCAAACTTTGCTACTTCTTTTTCAGGTCCTTGTTTAGAGATGTTTAGCTGGTGAAACATTAGATAAGTATTTATACTCTAGCAAAGAAAATTAGGTTTGCTGTCAAATAACTACAGATAATTTAACATATGGATATACACTAGAATATGCAAGAGAAAAGGGTGATAATGGATCACCTAGGCAATCCTGATTTTCTACGTCTGACAAAATAAAATGTGGTATTTTTTGAACAGAACTGAAATGCAGCTTTTTAAAGTTGAGCTACTGACCAGGTACTCCACACTTATTGATTGTTTGGGATTACAAGGAAAGTAGGTGATAGCAGACTGTTAAATTTCTAATTTTATGCTACACTGTATTTTTGCTTTTTTCCATAGACTGCTGACACAGTATGCTATATTATTTTCTTATAGCATGTCATTTTAACACTACCATGGTTAAAATTGCTTTTGTTGATTCAGAGCATAAGTACACTGGTTGCATGCAAAACACTAGTATAATCTTCAGCGATTTCCACCACACTGAAATTTCATGCTCTAGGCATAGGGATTTAATTCCAAATACAGGTGATTGAATATAATGTAAATGTCTCATGCTCTCTGGTTGTTTGTTTGTTTGTTTGTTTTTGTAAAGCACCATAGCTCCCAGAAGAATCCTGCTATATCCAAAGGGTGGGGCGAAGGAAGGGTGGAAAGGTAGTTCCAGAAGCAATGAGAAAGAGATGGTGTCCTTGGAACCTGAAATACCATCAAGTTCCTGTACTTCTTAGTACTTCTTCCAATTTGGATCAAAAGAAAAGTTGAAAGGGAAATCAGCAAGAGCTGTTTCCTGTCTGTTATGTAAGACTGGGCCTAAGTTTGCATTATGACAATACTTCGTATTCTAATAAAAGTTTAGAAGAAAATATTAAGATATCTGTATCAGGACTATTGCTGCAGATCCTTTCTGGTTTTGGTTAATTCACGGGATTTTTCAAACCTTCTAGCAAAGGACATTCTGCATGTTCACTGGATTGTAGTTGGATATTCTTGCAGTTATGGCAGAAACATTTTATTTTTATTTAGAGGTCTGTCAGAAATTCTGCGAGTGATCTTGTTCTATTCATCTCCTCTGTGTTCCAACTTCTGTTTTATAAATATTTTTTCCCACTTATTATCTGTGTCATTTTTCACCGCAGTTCTGCATGTGACTCCACTAATCCAAATTACAGCTCCAGAGTAGAGTTTAAATGACAGACAATAATGTATCAGAAAATTTTCCAACACCATCTTGAGAGTAAAAATCAAATTTAAAATACAAAATTGTATGTAATTAACTTGTATCTTAATTAGAATCATAAAATAACTCAGTCTGTAAGAGACCTCTGCATGCCCTCAATTGTCCAAACTTCTATTCAAATGGCCTCTAACTTCAATGTCCCACAAAGCTGCTGCACAGTGTTCTGTGCAGTCATATTTCAAAAGTCATCCCTAGGTACTTGACCAGTGGAAAAACTTAGTCTCTTACATACAGCTGGAATTGTCTTTGTTGCCATGGAAATGCTAGCTGCCTGTTGTCATTTTACTGTGTATATTTGTAAAAATCTGGCTTCATCTTCTTCATACGCCCCCATGTGGAAGACAGCAATTAGATTCTCCTCCTGCTCCCCTTCACCCAACTTTTCTCCAGGCTGCACAAAACCACATCTCTCAGCGTATTCCTTGTATATTATATGTTCCAGCCCATACCATCTTAGAGGATCTTCTCTGGACTCTTCAGTTTTATGACCTCCCTTTTACTGGGGAATCTGAAGTGGAACACAGTGCTGCCTCCTAAGTGTTGAGTAGAAGGGATATAATTTCTTCTCTCAATCTACTCTTGTTAATGAAGCCCAACATGTATTGCAGTCATGTTCCTCTCATTATCCAGGAAAAGCCCAAATTTTCTGCAGAGCTGGTACCTAACTAGTCAGATCCTTTACCTCCTCTAGGGGTTTATTCTACCCAAGGTACTGGACTTAGCATTTGTCTTTGCTGAACTCAGTGATATCTGCCAACTCCTCAAGCTTGGTAAGGTTCCTTTCTAGCAGCAAGCCAAGTGCAGTTTGTTCTTTGCTATATTTTTGTAAATACCAAACTCCTTGTAATCTAGCAATTATCTTTTTGCTTTGGGATGGAAATAGGAAAAGTAACATAAATTTACACAGAATACATTTATTCAGAATAACTTGCTCCACTGACTCATCTCTTTCAAGATACCTTCAAGATAACTGAAGGTGAAAGCCCTAAACATAAGCTGATGGGTCTGCTTTAGACGCCTAAGTTTTAACATGCTGAGGAATTTATGTCAATTCAGTAAATGACAGTGGTTTTTTTCTTGTTCTACAATTTCCTGGCTGCATGTCCAGAAAAACAAATTCTTAAGAGGAGCAAGAATAGAGATACTGGAGTCTATGGATTCTGCACATGAGCAAGTTCTACATATGATACACGCTGAAGAGTCATTTCAGCTGAATAGAAACTAGATAGCACAACATCTTGTTGGAAGGCTTATGTTGCTTAACTTTCTATATGCTCCCCATAGCTTTACAGAAAGGAGTCTGATGAAAGTATTTCAGGCAGTGATAGGTCTGGTAGAAAGATGCAGAGTTTTTATTTTACATAGCAGTAAATCATTGTGAGAGAGCTTTAAAAGTGTGGGACTAAAAACCTGCTAAGGTAACCATCTCCACAATTAAAATCAGGTGGCTAAAATAAGTCTACTAATTTAGACTAATTAGTGGCAGGATAGTCCCCCTGAGTGAGAACAGCTCAGAAAGATACAACAATCTGCTAGGTAAGAAGGAGACAACAGACCACTGCTAAAATGGAAAACACTGGGCAAGCTAACAAATATATTATGCTGTGTTTATGTGAGCATGCATATATAAAAAAGATGAAGTTATAAAAAAATGGCAGAGAAATATGTAAAAGCAAAATACTAAAATTACTGTAATTGTAATGACTATCTTGTAATCCTGTATGTCGACATAACAAAATGACAGTAGGAAAACTAACATGCATAATATGAACTTGTTTTTTATTGCCAGAGGGATGCTTAAAGGCACAATATGCAGCTGCATAAGCACAAAAAACCAGCACAATGGAAATTTAAATGCATCCAAACATCACTCAAACCAGATTGTCTCAGAATAGCAAACCCATTCTGAATACATCAGAAATCCTTTCTCCCTTATCCTAACTAGTGATACTCAGTTCCTAAAATGTTTGCAAACCCCTTCCAAGTTTAGAAAAAAGCTGGTAGGAACATAGGATGATAGAGTTGAAAATTAATGTCCTAATGAGTCCACAAATTATATATAAACATCAAGAGACTAACTGGCAACATGTGATGCCAGCTGAAAAGCCACCACCAAAATTAAATTAATGCACAAGAAGTGACAAGACTTATTAGATGTCTCTGGCATATCTGTGCTGCTGAGCATGCTACAAGACAGCTATTTTTAAATGAGACGTGATGTGCTGGAAACATTCTAGCCACTGAAGCATGAAGCTGTATATAATCAGTTCACCACACTGGGAGGCTGCAGTACTATAGTTACGTGTATCTTCCAAAATACTTGAGAAAAATTCAAATGGTGAGTGAAGTCTTGTAGATTTTCTAAGAGTTTGACTACAATTTTTTTCTGAACTCACCTAACTATTTGCTTTTGAATGAAGCTCAAAGTTCTGTGACAGCATTGCAATATCACTGTTTCAGTTAATGCATTTGTACCTTTTAATTTCATCTGGTCAATTCTGTTACTGAGGAAGACTTAATTTTAATGCATGATCTGTACTAAAATGTACCAAAGATGCATTTCACTCACAGTCACTCACTGGACAATCATCTGCAAAAGGAATTGATTGATTTAGGTTTTTTACAAGTGTTTAAGTCAGGAAGTTAGAGTAACACGACAAAATCTTAAACTGTCTTTTAATTCAATAACATCATGAGTCAATACTGAGGTAGGTAATAAATGTTAACAAAAAAAAATGTGCACTCATGATAGCATTGTAGGACATGAAATCGATGATAACATAGCAACTATACACAAAACCTTGACAAGTCTTGTTATTCTAACCATTCTGCAGAGGAAGGAAATTTTAATTTTTTAAACGTGTATGTCAGGAAAAGGTTACTTCTTGATGGTCATTTTGATAAAATCTGTTATATTACATGAGTTGCTGAAATTATTTTCCCATTGACAGCACATGCTAGAGCTATAAAGGAAGCAATAGGAACAAACTTGCTGACTTTATGTTAATGATACTTTTAGATTATCTAGGAATATAAGAGAAGCATGACAAATATAGGACAACAACATGCAACAGCAAAGCATGTAGGAAATTTAGGTTAGTATTTTACAATGAACATTTTTTGCAATAGAATCTGTAGCCAAAATTGATGACTAACTTCAGTAGCACTGGGACTTCATACGTAATTAAGAAAGCTTCTGAATACTGTGTTTGCCCGTGATAACTATTCTTTGACTTAGACTTACACCTGAAACAATGCGATATTTATAGAAAGGTAAGCATGCAAACTGTCTGCTTTGAAATTTGGTAGCAGGGAAAAATTGAACTTTTACTTGCAAAAAAATAGTACAGAAATAACTAGAAAAGTCACAGAAAACATAGGAAGGTCTCACAGTTAACATCCTCTCAAAATATGCATCTTACTATAGTGTTTAGTCAGTAGTATAAGTTATACTAGTAACTATTAATAAAGTAGACGTGTTCACTGTGGCCTTTGATATCAGTGATAAAGCAATAAACTACAATATGGATGACAGATTGAAGTTTACAAAGCAGTAATACCAGCAATTTGTTTTGCAGCTCCAGAGGCGATTAAAAACAGCACAGCTTCCCAGGAGACACAATCTAGTTTTCTTCCCTGATGCTACTGTGAGCACAAGACATTTCAAAGGAACACATGCAAACAAGAAGGAAATAAAACTATCTTCTCAAAACGTTTGTGTATGCAGTCAATTTGTAAATGGGGTGCGTGCATACCTCTGAATTTAATCAAGTAATATCCTCATAGGACAGCAATGTAAAAGCTTAAGTGCTGCTTTGTATTCCCTGAGTTTTGCTTTGAACCCTACTTCAAAACCACTTTAGTCTGAACTAATTTTGTACTGACAAAATAAAGTCCAGACTGATAGAATTAATGGAGTCTGATGTTTTACAGAAGCCAGAGCAGTCTAAAACAAGAGCATTTTACTTTAGATGAGCATGTAGTCAGAAGAGAATTACAAATTCTGTTCTCCTTTAATACTGGCATTCATAAGCCTGAGACTGTGGCATATCAAAAGGATTTTATCTAAAAGCTCAAAGACCCTAAAAGAGAGGAAGACAACAATCCTTTTCCCCTATTTTTTTTTCATTCCATGCTTCCAGTCAGAAGTTGTCAATGCACATATTTTTTACCTTTCACAAACTCTTGTCTTCTCTGGATTCCTCTGCAAGCTCATGCAGTATGTCAACTTGCCAGAGAACATGTCTATCAGGAAAAAGAAGATTCTCTTCTCTGCTAGATTAATGAACTGAACTGACTCACAGAATTGTCTGATGAGTGCCAGAGACATGGAAAAGGAATGTGCAGGACTAGGTGGCCAGGAGCCATGGTTGAGGGAGGGAGGATCTCTGCTATGGGAAGGGAACAAAGAAGGAAGATGCAGGAACAAAAGCTATCCCTTGCTGCAGCAGCAAGCCATTCATTTCACTCCAATTTTTTCTAGAAAACAACCCAATTGTTAAAAACATGGGGAAAAAAAAAAGCAATTTTATTTTTGTATTACCATTACAGAAAGCTATAAAAAGTAGAACTAAAATTAGCAAATTTCATTTTAATTACAAAAGAAATCTCAGGGTAATGCATGGCAATCAGCTTTTGAAGCAGCATGTAAAACCTAAGTGCTTGCTATTTCTCCCTTGACACTTCCAGTCACTTGTTTAAGTTCTCACACCACTTTCTACATTATATCTCTTTAATGTCAGGTGTTACATCACTACAGTAAACCAAACTGGAAAGCTGATCCAACTGAAAGATAACCACTTGGGGTATTTTTTGGTATTATAATACATATATATATTTATTTTAGAGTTCTTTCAGCACTCAGCCATACAAATGTCCATCTTAGTGTTTTTGATAGGGAAGCAGCAGATACATTTATTTCAGCAACACTGCTTCTCAACTTCAATTCACACATAGACAATTGCTATCTCACCTGAGTCAGAGAAACTTCAAAACTGATAATATACTGATGCCGTTTTTCAGTAAAAAGGCTTAAGTAGCTCAGATAATTCTAAACCAGAAACAACTACTCAGTATCCCCATGTGAAGCACCTGGGGTCCCCATGATGCTGCTGAGAGTTCTGTGATTTGCTATTTTTGAGTTTTTGTTAAATCATGGTTGCTATTAAAAAGAAGTTCCTCCACTTGTTGTCACTCCAACATGCAGAGGCAATATGTCCTTCTGCATATTCACCTACTGGTGCAACATAATCTTTGTGAAAGGCAAGAAGGTTGAAATATTTATCCAAGTTCTACATCTACTTCACTCAGACTACTGCCAAAGATTTATTTGTTTATGGGTGCTCATTTTGAAATAAACTGAATCCATGCATGCTTTCTAGAGCATACTCTGAATAGCTACAGGAAAATATGTTTTAGATGCTGATGATCAAGTGCAGAAGTAAAGTTACCACCTCAGCATGAAACCCACAATTTCTTATCCGTCTCTTAGGATAAATATCTTAGGAATCAGCACCTTATTAAGAACTTCAGTGATATGTTGGACTGGAATTAGGCACTGAAACTCCTTCATTTCACAAATTGCAGTGTTACTCTGGACAGCTGACACTTTCTTGACCTTGTCTCCCTTGACTCAGTGTGTATTAGTTATATCTTTCTTACCCTAGTTGTTAAACCCAACCAGACAAAGACCTTACCTCCCAACTAACCAATGCATTATGAGAGAGATCTAGGGATTTCAGGTGACTACATTTTTTCAGAGAATTACATAAATGAGTGATTTTCTCCTGCCAGAAAGGAGCAAGGATGACAAATTATCTACTTCAGAACAAAAGGGCAGACAGGGTGGGAGCATGACTAGGAGCATGCATAACCTCAGCATATTTATAAGAAAGGCAGGTAATATCTTCTACACATTTTCATACTTAATATGGTGAATACAAAATGCATGATGAAGCTGTTCTGCAGTATGTCAAGAATTCTGACAACATTTTTAGTGCTAAACAAAAATTGGAAACAGGTTAATTTCTTGTTGCTACAATAGAGGCTTTGTAGGTATTTTTTTAATGGTAGAACTAGTAATATATGTACTAGTAGAACTAGTAGTATGTGGTAGCCATTGCAAAAAGATGCTAGAAGGAAGTATGACATCTTTCAAGTGCCACTTAATATCAAGCCAGCACTTGTGCAAAACTGCATATCCACTTTCCAGGACAAAATAACCTTTATGATTCCAACTTTTCCTTGTAAACAAGTATTTATAGCAGGTGCTTATTAAGCAAATTAAAGCACTATCATCTAGTATACAGGGAAAACACACATCGACTACGCAGACCTGAGCTTCATCTTCCTCAGGAATGAACCTATGGTGCAATAAAACCTCAGTTTCTAACTATATGAGGGTTTTGACCACAAAGAACATTTTAGATGTGTCTTATGAGACACCAATATTCAACTTTTTTTTTTAAAGGTAAATGTAAAGGTAATCTGTGAGAGAGAAAATGGATTGTGCTTTCCCTGGGTTCTCTGGTAGAATTGGGCGTATCTCCACTGAACTCTGTGACAGTATTTCTGTAAGAACAGGTATAAAGAAAAGATACTTAATACAGTGCAGGGGAAATCCAGGGTAAAATCTAGCCAGGATACAAGAAACAAGGTATGTATTTCTAAATTGGGAACTCTTTCTCTCTGTGTATCCAACACTGCTTTATACCCCTCCCATAGTTTAACTCAACATGTACCATTTTCTTTTGTGAAGACTTTATAAGCCTTAATGAACTTATTCTCCGTATCTAGGATGCTATTCCCAAGTATCTTGGGGTGTTGCATTATTACATCCTTTTTAAAAATTTCAGGTTTTTAAACATTAAATTATAAAAAACCACTTTGTATTTCATGTTACTCAAAGTTCAAGAAACAAATCAAACATCTTTAAACACTGAACTATGTCAATAGCACATCTAAAGTCACCTGTTAAAGCCAACTGCATCCTGGTCTGCATCAAAAGCACTGTGTCCAGCAGGTTGAGGAAGGTGATTCTCCTGGAGTACACTGCTCTGGAGAGACCCCACCTGGACGACTGCATCCAGCTCTGGGTTCCTCAGCACAGGAAGGACACTGACCTGTTATAGCGAGTCCAGAGAAGAGCCACAAAAATTATTAGAAGGGTAGAACACCTCTCCTCTGAAGAAAGGCTGAGAGAGTTGGGGTTGTGCAGCTATAGAAGAGAAGGCTCCAGGGAGACCGTTTTGTGGCCTTTCTGCACTTAAAGGGGGCTTATAAGAAAAATGGAGACAGACTTTTTAGCAGGGCCTGTTGCAATAGAAAAGGAGAAAGAGTTTTAGACTAAAAGAGTAGATTCAGACTACATATAAGCATGAGATTTTTTATGATGTGAGTGGTGAAACGTTGGAAAAGGTTGCCCAGAGAGGTGGTAGATGCTCCATCCCTGGGAACATTCAAGGTGAGGTTGGACAGGGCTCAGAGCAACCTGGTCTAGTTGAAGATGTCCCTGCTAATTGCAGGGGGATTGGACTAGATGACCTTTAAAGGTCATCCTTTAATGGCCCAACCTATGATTCTATGATCCACAAACTACTAATAGACGTAAAGGGTTACTAATGTCAACTCAGCCAAAACAAATAATAACAGCTGCTAGCACTTTATTAATTACCTGGAAACAGATGGAAAAGGGATTGGAAACAATGTAAATTCCTATGCAGGAATTCCAAGCCTTCTGGCTTAGAAAGACAAGGCAACCTGAGGGCTTTTTTTCCACAGACTAAAGTTAAGAAACTTTAAGTTCTGCTCCTCCCATATCGACCTTCCTTCCAGATATGTCCTCCTCTTGCTTTATTCTGCATTGACTCTGGTAGTAATTTAGTCAACTTTCATGGAATCGCACAACAAAACCAGAAGTATGCAACAGCTTTTCCCTGGGTTACCAAGTTGGATTAGTATACTGCATAAGCTGATAAACACCAGATATGGTGAAAAGTAAGAATATATAGCACTGGAAATGGGGAAAAGAGAGAGAAGAGCAGTGAGGAAGGACAAAAATGAAGACAAGACACCCCCATACATTAACTACCTAATAATTAATCTTAACCATATTAAGAAATCACCTATCTAAGAGGCTGTCTCTCTTGCAGTACATAATATGCATACATCTGAACAAGTTACACATTCTGATTTTGTAGAGATTTACATCCCTTGAGCACACAGACAAGGTATTACCTAAAATGCAAGATGAGAAGAGACTTAACCAATCAGCAAATTATAGCTGTTCTGGTGTACAGTGTACACAGCAGTTAAAAATTGGTGTGTTCTTGTGGTATGGATGTTTGTGATTTTTTTTCCTGGTGACTCTGGACTAACAAAACAGTATCTGCATTTTCTTCTGCTTGAGAGCAGGGTTTACTGGCTCCATTTATAGGCAAAACACAGAACAGTGCTTATGATTAAATATTCAGAGAGAACCACAGGGGCTTTCCTCTCTTTCCCCTCTTGATTGCAGCATGTCTCACCACTCATGGATAACCGTAGTGGGGTATGAGCCGTGCTATTGTACATTCTGAGTTTATTTGTTACATAACTGAACCCACTGTCTCTCGGTTTCCCTCAGAATGCATTGATGCCAGGAAACTGGAGTATACAGGTTGCCCCAGGCATGAAAGGCTCCACCGCATCTGTGATGTGCACCTGACCTGGTCG